ATCCTGCCTCCTGAGCCTCCTCTGGCCTGTCTTTCCTTGTTTCTCATGCCCTCAGCAGCAGTGAAAACTGCTAATCAGGTATTTTTGTAGCATTGTACCCGTGGAAGACAAAACAATTGTTTGATGTTTCCCCAGTGATTAGAATGAGGTTATGGCTTAGTGGAGGAAGACCACTATGATGGTTTAGATCTTAGCTATCACTAGTTTGTGGTACTTCATCAGAATGTAGGTGGCGGGACATTTAGGGGGTGGGACCTAATACAAGGAAGTTAGGTCATTGGAGGTGTGTCTCTACAGGGAATACTGGGGCCGCAGTCACTCCTCTAGCACACACACACTCCTCTATCTTTGCTTCCAGATTCCCATGAATGAAATAGCCTTCTCAACCATGCACTCCATCTGTGATATATTGTGCCACCACAGACCCAAAGTGAAACTAATCATGGACCAAAACTTCTCAAGCCACCCGCCGAGACAAACCTTTCTTCCTTCTAAGTTGATTCATCTCAGCCACCTACCACAGAGACATTAAGCTGATAAACACAACCCTAGAAGTGAAGAATGAAAGATAGCTGCCAGTAACTTCCCCTCCTGGACAATGTTAGCTTGGATAGGTAGATAGCATTTGCCAGGTTTCTCCACCATAAGCTTCTTTTCTAACCTCTTCCATGCAGTGTAAGCACACTGTACATGTAGAATTAGCTTCTACATTAAATGGAAGAATGCCCACATAAATGACTAAAAAATAAAAAATGGGGGGGTCTGAATGGGGGGCTGGTCCTAGGGCTTGAACCTGGGCACTGTCCTTGACAGTGTCCTTTGTGACTGTCCTTTGTGCTCAAGGCTAGTACTCTACCACTTGGGGCCATAGCACCACTTCAGGCTTTTTCTGAGTAGTTTATTGGAGATCAGAGTCCCACAAACCTTCCTGGATCAGACTGGCTTTGATCTGCAATCCTCAGATCTCAGCCTCCTGAGTAGCTAGGATAATAGGTGTGAGACACCAGTACCCAGCATGTCTAGGAATTCTTACCACCTCTCATGTATTCATGAAATTATGACAGTAGAGGCTCATAGATACTTGTTCTATACTTTGGGCAATAATAACAATTATTTGGTTTATTTGCTCTTATTGTCCTAGTTTGACTGATGAGAGCAATTTCAGAATGGTTTCGAAGTCACTCTGACACACCCTTATCACGTTGCATTTTGAACATTTTTTTTCTTTCTTTTTCTCCAATTTTTTTTTTCTTTACTTTAAAGATGAGCTGCTGAGTGTGAATTATGTCTTCCTAAAGTCTCCATGTCAAAGTACTAGTCCCCACTACCTCAGAATAAAGAACTGGGAGCTAAAATGAACCCATACTATAATAAGGTGGACTCCTAATCCAGTAGGACCAGTGTTCGTCTAAGAAGGACAAGTTGAGACTTAGATGGCCTACAGAGTGAAGATGGAAGCAAATAGATGTATGATGCAATGTGTCCAAGGAGTGTCCAAGATTGCCAGCCAGCCACCGGAAGGTAGAGGAGAGGCCTAAAATAGATTGTTCCCACAACTTCAGAAGGAACTAACCCAGTCTGCTGACACCTTGATCTCCAACCCAGCTTCCAGAACCTCAAGACAATATATTTCTGTTGTCCAAGTCCCCTAGTTGAAGTACTTCGTTATGTCCACCCAAAGAAACTAACCCAAGATTTCTCCATTTCAACTACAAATCTTTCATGGCCAGCACTGGTGGATCACATCTGTAATCCTAGCGACTCAAGAAGCTGAGATCTGAGGAACATGGTTCAAAGCCAACCCAAGCAGAAAAAGTCTATGAGATTCTTATCTCCAATTCACCAGAAAAAACTGGGTGTGGCACTGTGGCTCAAGTGGTAGAGTGCTAGTTTTGAGCAAAAGAGCTCAGGGGCAGGGCCCAGGCCCTGAGTTCAAGCCCTGGGACTAGTGTGTGCGTGCACCCCCCCCACACACACACACACAACCTCAAAAATAAAAGAAAAACCACAAAGCACATATATTTGGTAGAACAGCAACTTTAAAGAATAAGTGTCGAAAAGCCAGGCACCAGTGGCCCAAACCTGTAATCCAAGCTATTCACAGCAGGCTGAGATGTGAGGATCACTGTTCAAAGTCAGTCTGGGCAGGAAAGTCTATGAGACTCATCTCTAATCAACCAGTAAAAGGACAGAAGTTGAACTGTTGCTCAAGCAGCAGAGTGCCAGCCTTGAGTGAAAAAGCTGCGGGGCAGCACCCAGGCCTTGAGTTTAAAGGCCCTGTGGTAGCATACATACACATTACAAAAAAGAAAAGAAAAAGAAAACAGTAGGCATAAAGGAACTTGCTAACAAGCCTCTGAGCATGCATATTGGAAAACAAGAGGCACAATTATTCTCATCATAATATTTAACATCCAATCTGGATGGGAATCCTGTTTGGGGCTACGCGCCTTGTCTTCCCTGTAGAGTTGCCAAGTAGCTCAGGCAGTGCTACCTGCCAAGCACACCTGCAAGTACTAGCAATAACTACACATCCATGAACATGTGATGGACCAGCCCCTTCATAAACACACATTTCTCAGGTGTGCTTCAGTGACTGTAAAGGAGGCTGACAGGATTCTCTCTATCACAGTGGACCCAGCAAGACCCCATGGCAGTTCAGCATTTTGCGGGGGGGGGGGGGGGGGGGGGGGGGGGGGGGGATCCTTGTTTAATGACTCATCTTGTTCCAGTTCCATCTTCCTACATAGAACCCCAACTAACAGGTGGCCCAGTGTCTTAAGATTTGAGCTGAGACTAATGCATGCAAACCACAGAAGTATCATACAATCATCCAGGGCTTTGTAGCTTTAGTATGATCAAGTTTACATACTAGAAGATCCCAAAGGAAACTCTAGGCTATGAAAGCCCTCTGGAAAAGAAAAGCCAGGTGCTTTCTGGGAGGCAACAGTGACCTTGACAGAGGTGAACTGTAAGCTCACCAGAGCATATGATGGACACTTTCCACCCCCTCAGTCAGTTTGGAGAAAAGGAACAGAACAGGAACTGAAATTGTCATCTGGAAATTTGCTCTAGTTCATCTGCATTTTTATGTCTATATTAAAACCAAAAAAAAAAAAAAAAAAAAAAATCCCAAAAAATGAAGTTATCAGGCTAAAGGCCAGCTCAGAAAACCTCTGACTGAGTAGACACTCTGCAAACCCAAGAGCTCTACCATAATCCTTCAAATTATTAAATAATTACTGTTTTTCCCTTGGGGTCATATTTGGTAGCAAAACACTGACCTCAGTGAATAACATTTACATTTTTAACTTGTTGGAAGCAAAGAGGAAAGAACTTCTGGGGTGCAAACTGGAGGGTGCAAACATCAGAATGACAAAGAAACATGAGACTCTAGGAAATATCTTAATAGGGTCATGTCCCCCTCCAACCCTGTACATTTAGCAATTCTCGACTCCAGTCTAATTCTCTTCCATTTGGGGCGTGACTACAGCCACAAGGAGAAAACCCAAACATATGGCTCTGTCCTTCTGGACGTTTCTACAGTGTCGGCTGAGCTGCTTTGGAAAATCTCATTTTATCTTCTACAGCTCTATGACCTCAAGTTGTCATTTCAAATAAAGTATGCTTCCACTGATTTTTATGAACACAGACAAAAGCCACTACAACCTTGTCTCCCCCACCCCCCCCAACGAACCCTGTAAACCAACTGTAGTTGCTATGTAGGGTTATTTGTTTCTAAGGCAACAAGCGTATATCTAAGTACTAATGGCCTGTCCTTTTGCCAGGCAACAAACAGCCTTGTGATGCAACTGCACCTGTCTGCGCTACGCGTTACTATGGAGACACTCCAGTTGCTATGGCTACCATCACGCTAATCGCCTAGCAAAGGCAGACATACAGCAGTCTTCTCAGAGAGCCCAGCTGTTCCTCCCAGCCTCTTGCTGAAGACTGATTGTCTGGGGCCTGTGATGGAATGCTTCTCAACTGAGACGCACAAGAACTCCATTAATGCCATTTGCAGGAGGGAGCGGTTTGGATTCCTCCCATGCTACATAGATCAGACTACAAAAAGAATCTGCAAGAAGGAAAACTGTAAACTTCCCCCAAATCTCTCATACTAAGCCATCCTCAATTCACATATAAACTCATACTCCAACAATAATTTCTTCTAACTGGATAGTGACAACAGAAACATTTCTATATGTCAGATGTATCTTATGTCATATATATATAATATATATATGTATGTATGTATATCCACTTCAGATTCACACACCATTCATAGATTTTTTTTAATCTACTTATAAATTGTGGTTCTGTGTTCTTTAGCCCTTTCTGAGAATCGACTGTTCTTTTTTATAAGGCAATAAGCTATTTAGCCCTTCACCTCAATTTTACAGTTGTAAAAATGATATTCATAACCTCAGAGCCTCACAACAAATGGATGGATGCCTGAAGAGGGAAAGTCTCCATTGTTCTTTGCTGCCTTCTTTTAAAAGGAAAACACTGAGTAACCACAACAAAACCGTCTCTCAGGAGTCCGTCCACATGGAGACAGGAAGGACAACTAAGTGAGCCTCCTCTCCACATCTGGTCAGGCTCTGGGAAGGTGGGATGGCTGGCTTGACTCATCCTTGTATGTTTATCTCAGCAAAATGTGACACACAGGAGATACGAAAGCTGTCGACTTTTCTTTGTACGTGTTTCTTCCACTAGGAAGATATTATTTTTACCCACCAAGAAGCCTTCTGGAAACACATTCCTCCAAAGCAGCAGAAGCGGTAAGGTTTGTGAAAACTACAACAATAGATATGCTTCCTAATAATGCATAATTTCTTTCTCCTTTATCTGCAGTTATTTTTAAAATCTCCTACAGCCTAGCAAATTAGTTTCAGTGCCTGTCTCTGCCAAAATAATGCAATTGTAGGGGGGGGAGAGAGAGGGGGGGGGAGGGAGGGAGAGAGAGAAAGAGGGGGGGAAGAGTACAAATTACTTACCTTTGATATGCCTGAGGAGTGGGGGATGGGTGGTAAGGTGTCTTTTTCAAAGCCTGAATTAGATTTTGTCTGTATTCTGGGTCTATGCACCACAATGACCCTTTCCCAATACTCTGCAAAGGAAAATTAAAAGACAAAAGTATTAACACAGAAGTATTAAGTATCTTGTAGTAAGTAGACATATTACTATCATAGTAATTGTTAAAAGCTTCTCATTTGTTGACTGGGTACCAGACTTAAATATTTTACTACAAGAGAACACCATAAAAAACACCATAAAATACCCATCAATCTTCCCTGTATTAACTTTGACAGACAGAATGAACATATCATTAAGAGATTATACTAATACAGTATGATACTTTTCATAGCCAGACTACCCCCCCCCCCCCCGCAAAAATGAGAATCCCTTATTATTTTCAGTGTCAACTTTGAAAAATACATGTATTATCTTCTAACTTTAAGTCTGTCAAATTTCAAATATTAAAAGAATAAGAGGGCTGGGACATCCTTAAAATCTGTGCTTGCAAAATGTGCTGCATCTTTAAACCACATCACTGGGCAGCATTTTATGAAAATGGGAAATTCACTTGATTTTATTTCCCGCCCCCCCCCCCCAGTTGCTCACAAAATAACAGTTATGCTTGGAATGTAATTCTGTAATTATCACCACGCCCCGGCCCACCCCCCCAAAAAGGTCTCACTCAGGCAACAATGGTAATAAACCTAAACAGGAATCTAACATTTATTCTTTGAATTCCTTAGTACCTCTTCCTTCAGCCAGTAAATCTTTAGGAAGTCAAACTTGGAAATGCAAATTTTCTACACTGACTCTCTATTGAGGGGAGAAAGAAGGGGAGGAATTTCCCTTTGGGGCAGTGATCAGCACATCTGAAATCTGCCTTTGAGGCCCACAGGAACTGGCAGCGGCCCTAAGGGCATTGGCTGAGAGCTTTCAAGTGACCAAATGTACCCAGACTCTTTGATAAAGTCATTAGTAAATATTCACCAATTTGGAAAGAAGGTTAAATTATCTAAATGTGTTAACATTCACCCTTTGCTTTTCAGCCCCAGACTCCCACTTTTCACAAGCACTGTACTCAAGAAAGACTGGTGTTATCTTCCAACATTTAGAGTAAACAAGAAAACAAACGGGGTGGGGGATTGTTAAAGTCCATGAAAATCCCACAGAAGGAGCAGTAAACACAAATTGTTCCTAAAATCTACAGACAAGCCCCCCCCCCCCCGCCCCGCCCCAAACACTTCAGTCTCAAGAAGAGAACCCAACGGGGCAGGCAGAATGGTCTGTTTGTGGTATGGTGGGCATAGAGGCTGATACCTGGTGCCACCCGTCACCGGGATATGAGCGTGGGGTCAGGTGGACTAAATATTAACCTGCCCAGTTTCAATCATCTGAATGTCTGAAGCCAGGAAAGATTTCCAGCTTTGGAAAATCCAGCACCCCAATGCAGCCTTGCTTTTCATGGACACATTTTCAAGTCAGCCATAGTTTGGAGGCTCTAATGAGACTTTCCAAGTAAAGCAGGCAGGCTATCCGATCATCTGCCCCGTATCTTCCATCGTTTCCTGTGGGAAAAGTTGAGCAGCAACACAGTCTAGAAGACAGCCCCCCACACCCTCCCCACAAAAAAAAAAAAAAAAAAAAAAAGGTAAGGAGTAGGGGGGGAGACCAGGAATTACCAGATTTGGCGAAGGGGGCTAGTGGCTCACACCTGTAATTCTAGCTGTGCATGGCAAAGTCTGAGGGTCACCATTTGAAGCCAACCCAGACAGCAAAGTCCTTGAGACTCTTATCTCCAATTAACCAGCAAAAAGCCAGAAACTGTAGATATGACTCAAGTGATAGAATCCCAGGCAACTGAGAGGCCCTGAGAGTTCAAGCCCAGGCACAAAAACAAAAACCAACCCATAAAAACAAAAACCAACCCTCAAACCCAGTCAACATGTCAGCAGGGTGGGGCTGGTCCGACTCTACCTTCCCACAGACTGAGAGCCTTGGGGAGCCCCTGGGGCCTTCTGCTCCCTGGCAAGCAAGGTCTCAGGCTATCCAGGAGTATAGTCCCAAGCATCCAAAGTGAGCTACTCAGCCTGGGAAGGTGGCTCAGTGGTAGAGTGCTTGCCTTGCATGCATGAGGCCCTGGGTTTGACTCCTCGCAGCACCACATAAGCAGAAAAAGCTGGAAGTGGCTCAAGTGGTAGAGAGCCAGCCTTGAGCTGAAGAGCTGAGGGACAGCGCCCAGGCCCAGAGTTCAGGCCCCATGACCCACCAGGAAAAAAAAAAAAAAAGTGAGCTGCTCTTGGTACTGAAAAAAGCTTTTGCTTTCATCCCAATGTGTTCAAGAAGAGGCCAGTTTCTCTTACGCCAAAAACCTAAGACAAAGTAATAGAAACCAAGTGGCCCTCTTAGGTAAATAATCATAAACCAAGAATGTGGTTTCTCCTAATCCTGCCCCAAGTATCTTGTTTACTCTGGTCAACTATTGTCTAAAAGCTATACAGAATAAGCCCCGATCCATGCGGGGCAGTCACATGGCAGTAATTTCAGGTGCAGGGAGGGAGGCAACCTGAGAATTAAGAAGAAGGGGACAGGGCCTCAGCAGGCACGCGGATGTTCCTCTGTGGCCACGAGCAAAGCTCAGTGGCTTCCTCAGTAGTGAACTACAGAGAGACATGAGGCCAGACCTCTACAGGCAACTCAATAAATGGTAGGTGCCACTGTGCATGTCTCCCTTAAGACAGAAGAAAAATAAACCAAGACCACAGGAAGTGAGGATAAAATGGCTGTGTGTAGTCTAGTGTTAGGAGGTCTTAGCTGAGAGAAACTTTGATGGGCTTGTCTTTCTTCTAAGATCTCCTTTAATTTTGCCCTTTGCTTGGTCGGCCTTCCATGTATCCCATACCCTACAGGCAGGTGTTGGCTACTGTGAATTTTCCCTTGCTCTAGAAGCCAGAATCCCTGACGGAGGGCAATTCAGCTTCTAGAAACTTCTTTTTGGCCCCAGGTTTTAACATTGTGATCACTGAGCTGGGTTTTTCATGTTTGGTCTGTCCATGTAGCCAAAAGTCCTCCCCAGTAATCATTCACTGGACAAACGATCTCAGGCTCTGCGTAGTAAGAAATGGTTCTACACGGAGCTGCTTTGGATTTTACAATAAGTCTGGAAGTGCTGATATGTTTACTGATCAGACTCATATTTCAATATATCTGATAGTTAGCATTGCTGACATTCCAAAGAGAGGGAAAAAAATAAGACAATCCCACCCTACCAATACCAGGGCTGAGTTTTGGGGACAGGACTGGCGGTTCACCCCCCTATTTAAAGCCCTCTCTTTGGTTGCAAGTGACAGTTGAGAATAATAAAAAGGTTTGCTTGAAAAGTTTTTAAATGGGAAGGTGCAGAGGATAGAATTCTCAAGTTTCTAGGGCCAGAAAAAAAAAAAAAATTCACACCGAATATCCTCTGCAGGGGAGAGAGGATGTAATTTGATTACAGTTGTGTAATAAGTTTGAGAGTCGGAGCTCTCATAGAAATATCTGAGGCCAAGAATGTGCAGTCTTTTGTTTTCCTTTTTTTAAATGGAAGTAACTGTGAGGACCATTCATTAAGTGTTAAAGAATTCAAAATAATAAAAGAAAACTTCACTTACAGATGCATTTTTCCTAAGACATGTGCACATTTATATCCTATGAATTTCACACTCCCGGAGAACTAACGTGTTAGTGCAAAACATGAGTAAAGATACAATTAAGGCTGTGTTATTCCAGTTTTTTTAAATTAAAACAAGGAATGGTAGACAATTGTTAGTTTCTTTTTAATAATACCAAAATAAAACAATAAATAAAACAAAGCTGGGAACTGGTAGCTCCTAGCTACTCAGTAATCCTAGCTACTCAGTAGGCTGAGATCTGAGGATCACAATCCCAAGCCATCCAGAGCAGATAAATCCGAGACACTTACCAAAAAGCAGAAGAGAAGGTGTGGCTCAAGTGGTAAAACACCAGCCATGAGCAAAAAAGCGAAGAGACAGTGGCCAGGCCCTTGAAAGTTCAAGCCCCAGTTCCTCTGTATGTGTGTGAGTATGTTTGTGTGTGTGTCTAACACACACATACACAGAGAGCCTGATTTATAGACAAAATGAGTGAACAAGTAAAAATAAAAACACTAAAGGTAATGTAAAGATACGTATTTACTCCGTAGACCTCTGGTGGTCTTGAGCCAAGGACGCCAGCTGCCCCACACTCTCTTGTCACTCACACCCATTCCAGTATTGGGGATCCATTCCCTAGGATGAGAACTCCTGAAGCAAGCAGCATATTTACACTTTCGTCAAACTGTGGGCCCTGAAATGGGCCATGAACTCAATGTAATGAGTCCCAACCGGTATTGTTTAAACGGGACAGAAAGTATCTGTAGGAATGTGTTATACAGTTTCTATGTATACCTGCCAGCAGCAGATAATAATCGGAAAGATATATACACTTCTTACTGCCAAGCTGGGTTCTCGATGTTTGGCAGATATTGTTCTAGGACAATGATGGCCAGGGAGCTTTGCCTTCTCATCTCTTGTTCCTTGGAGAATCGAACCAATGAGGAAAGCCCCTTTATCAAAATGCAGCCTGGAGCCAAGTATGTGTAACTTGGTCAACTTGAAATGGAATCTTCTGATGTTCCTCATAGGCCATTTCCCAGGATGTGTCCAACAAAACCCACTAATCACTCATGTGCACTGGTTCATTCACTCATTCATTCACATGGTACCTACTACCTGACAACCACTGTGGAGACGAGCATCATTAACAAAAACAATCCATTCTAAAGCTTAGAGATTCCGGAAGGGGAAGAAGAGAGGAACTAGGTAAAGAAAGAAAGAAACAAAATCACAACAGACGGCACTACCTGGCAGGGAGGAAAATACAGAGAGTGAGCAGTCAGAGGAGAGGAAGCTGCTGCTGTGCTTGGAATGAAAGGGTTGGAACGGGCCCGAGATGACCACAGGGCCTTGGCTCAGGTAAGGGCAGAGGAAGTGGAAGGAGGAGGAGAGGCTCAGGATGTATTTTAGAGAAGCAGTTGGAGCTGGCAATGGATTAGAA